CGAGCCCCGCGCCCGCCGCGCCCACCACGCCCGCCCGGCTCCCCACGGGACACCGCGGTCCTACCCACGGCCCTCACCTCCCGGGCGGCCGTTGGCGGCGGCCCCGCATCTCTCCGCCTCCGCCTCCAGCAGTCCCGCGCCACCGCCGCCGCCGCCTCCTCCTTCCCCCGCTACCCGCGACTCGGCTGAGGCTCCACCTCCTCTGCTGCCGCCGCCGCCGGGCCGGCTGCACACCACGTGACTTGGACACGTGACCGGCGCCTCCTCCTAGGCCCCCGCCCCACCCCTCTTCAGCCACCGCCCGCCCCGAACCGACCCACGGCGGGTGGTGCTGCCCCGGGCACGGGTGCGAAATGGAGCCTCCCACGCGCCACCCGCCACTCGCCATCGTCGGTCCCCGGCAGCCTGGACCGCTGGCATCCGCTCCCTTTAGAGTGCTGCCCCGACGGGGCCGGAAGTGGACTGCCCACCGAGGTGCTGGTGCTGGCTTGTACACGGTCACCCTAGGGTCTCAGGTACTGGCGCGGTCACACAGTACCTGTCCATTAAGTCCCTCACAGGCTGTGCACTCTAACTGCTGAGAAGGGAAAGCTTAGTAGCTTCGTCTTCCATTGCAGAGAGGAGCGGTGCTGACTGTGGGGTTGTTAACACCCAGACCCGCCTGCTTGCTGTCTGCATTTGAGGCAGGGCTGAGAACAGCAGTCTTTCCGATTGCTCAGCACGTTTTCTATTTTTGCCTGTCTGCAAACCTTTCAAATCTACGTTTTAGTGTGTGTTAGAGACAGGGTCTTGCTATGTAACCCAGGCTGGCCTCAAACTGGAGTGTTTCCTGCCTCAGCTTCTTGAATGGCCACAGTTTCAGACCACCTCACCTAGCCAGTCCATGTTTTATTCATTCTATCAGAAAAGAAAGAAATTAGACTCACAGTTAATCAAGTTCTGAAGTTCATCAAGTTCATGAACTTTCATGCAGCAAGTGCTGACAAAAGTTACATAAATTCTAGTTTTTTAAATGGAATTTTTTTTTAAATTTTATGTGTATGAGTGTTATGCCTGTATGTGCGTAAGTGCACCCGGGTCATGCAACACCTGCGGAGGTCAGAAGACGGCATCGAGGTCAGAAGAACGCATCGCATTCCCCTGGAACTGGAGTTATGGATGGTTGTTAGCTGCCATGGGGGTGCTGGGAATCGAACCCAGGTCCTCTGTAAGAGCAGTCAGTGCTCCCAACTGTAGAGCCATCTCTCCAGCCCCTTAAATGGACATTTTTTAAATATTTGTTTCGTGTATGAATTTGCATAAATAAAATACACTAAATAAAGGTGTGAAATCTACATAATTTGGTAAGATTAATATGAGCTCTCCCAAACAATTTCAAAACCCCTGTAAGAAATAAAATTGTATTTAGGTCTTAGAGCACTTCAGACATAGGAGACAGTACTTGCTCAAGAACATTATACTTGAGTTTAGTGCTCGATATTATACTGTATATTGTGGGGAAACCAAAGGAAGAATACAATACAGTTCTTACCTTCAAAAGTTACAATTTCTGGGCTGGAGAGATGGCTCGTGGTTAAGAGCACTAGCTGCTCTTGCAGAAAACCCAGGTTCGGTTCCCCACACCCACATGGCAGCTAACAACTATCCTTAACTCTAGTTCCAGGGGATCTGATGCCCTCTTCTGGCCTCTGCGTGCACTGCACTACATGGGTACACTTAAATGCATTCAGGCAAAACATAAAAATAAATCCAAAAAATTAAAAACAAAAAAAATTACAATTTCTTGGACTGGTAAGATGGCTTAGTGGATAAAGATGTTTATCACCAAGACTGACAACCTGGGACCCCCATGGTAGAAGGAGAAAACCAACCCCCCCAGATTGTCCTCACTTCCATGCCCTTTGCATATGCATACACCCCACACATACAGATAAATAAATGAAAATAACTTACAATTTCTAAACAGTTACTTTAAAATATATGTTAACATTTTTAAAAGTCTCTCTCTCTCTCTCACACACACACATACACACACACACACACACACACACACACACACACACACACACACACACCATGTATACAAACTAGGTTCAGAAACCAAGGACCTACCTGGAGCAAATTATGAAAAAAATGTCAGAATTTCAAGAACTAGCAAAAGAATGAAAATTCAAAATGCACAGCTGACTAATTGCCTCGGTCCAACAAATAGTCTAAATAACGGGAAAAAAGATTAATGCTGCCTGCTTTCTTTTGTTTTCGTTTTAAGATTTTATTTTTTAAGACATTAAAAAAAGACATTTTTAAATATTTTATTATTTTTATTTTATGTGTATGAGTATATTGCCTGCATGTATGTGAGTGCACCCGTGTCATGCAATGCCGTGGAGGTCAGAAGAGGGCTTCAGATTCCTCTGGAACTGGAGTTAAGGATGGTTTGTAGCCACCATGTGGGTGCTGGGAATCGAACCCAGGTCCTCTGCAAGAGCAGCCAGTACTCTTAACTGCTGAGCCATCTCTCTAGCCCAAGACATTTATTTTTATGTGTATGGGTGTTTGCCTGCATGTATATATGTGTCCTATGTGCATACAGTACCTGAGGAGGCCAGAAGAAAGTGTCAGATCCCCTAGAACTGGAGTTACAGATGGTTGTGAGCCACCATGTGGCTACTAGGAACTAAACCCAGATTCTCTGCAAGAACAGCAAGTGCTCTTAACCACTGACTGCTCTTAACCATCTCTCCAGTGCCAAGATTTTGTTTATGTGTGTGTGTGTGCGTGCGTGTGTGCGTGTGTGTGTGTGTGTGTGTGTGTGTGTGTGTGTGTGTGTGTTTGGATCCCCTGGAGCTTGAGTTACAGGCAGTTGTCAGCCTCTTGATGTTGAGTGCTGGAAAGCAATCTTCAGTCTTCTGGAAAAACAGAAAGCATTCTTAACCAGAGCCCTCTCTCTAGCCCCTGTTTGTTTTTGTTTTTGTTTTGTTTTGTTTTGAAACAGGGTCTCACTGTGTAGCTCAGGCTGGCCTCAAACTTGTGATCCTCCTGTCTCTACCCCCACAGTCTGGGATAAAGAGTCTTAACCATTAATCTCAAGTTAGATGTGATGGCAAGCCTTTAATCCCAGCACTTAGGAGGCAGAGGCAGGTGGATCTCTGTGAGGTAGAGGCCAGCCTGGTCTACATAGTGAGTTCCAGCCCAGCTGGGGCTACAGGGATCTGTCTCTAAAAGACCAAAAAAAGAAAGACACCCCCCCCAAAAAAAAACTATCAAGCTCAACAACAGACCCTTGGGAGACTCACTCAAGCCATGAGAAGCTGAGCTGGCTCAGCAGGTACTCCCACACAGTCGGACACACACAGAAAGAGAAAAAGAAAAACTGAACAACATAGGCATTCTTTCTTCTGCAAGGTGAAAAACTACTAACCTTGCAAGTACCCTTCTGTTGTCTACATAATTTTATTCTTTCAGTTATCTGTTTTGCTAGCTGCCTTCCATCCTTCACTTTATCCCCAGCCCCTTACAGATCTACTCAATTCCTTGACATTTTCAGAGGGAAGATGGTTTGCTTAAAACCTTCAACTTGAAAACTCACTTGTAGTAAACTGTTCAGTCTGTTGTGAACCTGCATTTTACACTTTGAAACTCTTTCTAATTATGGAACAAAGAGAGTTGCCTCTTATTTAGAAATCTGAGGCAACAGGGAGCCATTAGAAGGGTAATTTGGCAAAGGGACCCTTCTACTGGCCTTTGAAATCCCACTGGCCCAGTAATTCTCATTTTGTTGTGTTTATAATACTTTTTCAATATTAGAATTTTTAGCAACACACTTGAAGAAATTAAACCAATGCACAATAACCACTGAATGATAATTATTACAATGAATAACATCTCTCATTGTTTGGTGCTATTGATTCTATTAACTGGCTTTCCCTTGGCTCTTAGTTCAAGTTTGAGAAAAATTTTAGTACCCTGACCAAGCCCCCTGTTAAATTCTGAGGGATGTGTGACCTTTCTTTGAACGTTACCCTCTCATTTTTCTGCCTTGGGTCACATGATGAGCTCAGAGTTCATCAGTCATTCTGATTAACAGTGTGACAACACTGTTATAATATAAACATTGTATACTCTTCAAACTATGGCTAAGGCCCTGTGAAAGAGTGTGGGAACAGCGCGGTGGTTGAGCACCTCTGCCCCACCTAAAACTGATGCAGTAGGCACAGGCTCTGCAGTTAACAGCTGGGTGCCTGGTTGACTAGGCTCCCTCCTTGCCTCTCAATCCTTTTCCCTACTTGCCACCCCATCACATTGCTGAGATATCCAGACCCTGAAGCCCCAGAAGCTCCTGTGACAAGGCCTCTTTCCTACTCATCACCACCCAGCATCCTATCCTAGGAGGCATCTCCCCTCCCTTCTGACTTCAAGGAAATTCAGAACCCAGTTTCTGCTTACTCAACCTTACAGCCACCTACGTATTCAGCACAGGCACAGGGAAACTAGATCCTGTCAGGAGATGGCAAAGGAGCCAGAGCTTAGAGCCAAAAATGTCAGTGCCAGCCTAGGCTTCATTACTGGAAACACGGCACACAGCACCAGGGATAAAATGCCCATGTCTCCTGTGCTTCTCTGAACCAAGTCACATCCAGATTGCTCCTACCAATTCTGGGTGCTACCCTAGCCACATGTAGAGGTAAATAGTGAATGTGATACATCCTATGAGGATGAGGGGGAGAGTTAAGAGCTCTATTTACAAACTTAAAGTGTCATTTCACGAATAGCTATGAGGATAAGAATATTTAACTCAGAATGGGGAGACAGCTCAGTGGTTTAAGAGAACTGGCTGCTCTTGCAGAGGACCCAGATGTGGTTCCCAGCACCCACATGGCGGCTAAGTATCTGTAACTCCTGTTCCAGGGGATCCTGCACCCTCTTCTGGCCTCCATAGATATTACATGCATATGGTGCACTTACATACACACAGTCAAAACACACATAAAATAAAAATAAGTAGAAAATTTTTATAAAGAATGTTTAACTCAGATGGACCATGAACTCTCCTGGTGAACCATGTGCCTGAAAGTAATCATGGAGGAGTGCTATTTCTATGTAATTATTGATCCTACATTGGATCAGGGACTGTCAAGAATGAGAAGTTGTATGTGGGAATTTGCAGAATGGGGAT